GGGGGCAAACGTGTGTGTGTGTGTGTGTGTATGGGGGGGGGATGGACTGTGTGTGTGTAGGGGGGGTCTTTCTCCATCCAAGGCCGGCCCAGCAGCCCTTCCCCCGCCTGGTGTGTGTGTGTATTGTGTGTGTGAGAGAGCAGGGGGGGGGCAAGGGGGGACGTGTGTGGGTATTGTGTGCGAGTAGGGGAGGGGGGGCGGGCGTGGGGGGGGGGCGGACAGGGCGTGTGTGTGGGGGGCTCTTTCCCCATCCAAGGCAGGCCCCGTGAGGGTGTGTATTGTGTGTGTGTATTGTGTGTGTGTATTGTGTGCGCGTGAGGCGGGGGAGGGAACCAAGGGGGGGGGTGTGCGTGCCGCCCCCTCCCCTCCCTCACCTGGAAGGACTGCTGGTTGACCAGGCTGTAGACCAGGATGAAGCCCTGGCCGTTCTTGATGTAGAGGTCCCGCATGGAGGCGAACTGCTCGGTGCCGGCCGTGTCCAGGATCTCCAGCACGGAGGGCGAGCAGTCCACCTCGATCTCCTTGCGGTAGAAGTCCTCGATGGTGGGGTCGTACTTCTCGATGAAGGTGCCCGTCACGAACTGCACCGTCAGCGCCGACTTGCCCACCCCGCCGCTGCCCAGCACCACCACCTTGTACTCCCTCATGGCCCCCCGGCGGCCACGGCCACGGCGGCGGGCTCCACGGACCTACCACCCGCGCCCCTGGCTCGCCCGCCCGCCCGCGCTTCGACGCGCCGCCGCCCCCGCCAGGCCCGGCCGCCGCCGCCTCAGCCGCCGCCTCAGCCGCCGCCGCCGCCGCCGCCTCACTCCATGGCCGGCCTGGGGAACCGCCCGCGCGGAAGAGTGCGGCAGCGGCGCCGATGACGCCACTTCCGGGCGCGGGGAGGAGCGCCGGAAGGGGGCAGCCCCATCGGAAGGAGCGCGCGGCGCCTGCGCCTTGCCGCCCCGCGGGGCCGCTCTTGCCCTCCGCTTGGTTTCTGGAATGCCTCTCTCGATGTCCACGGCCTGAAACAAAAGGCTGCGCTTTGCCGTCGGGGCGGGGCTTAGAGATGGGAAAAGGCGGTCGCTCCTTCCGGGGTGGAGTCGAAGAGCTTCGAAGAAAGGAAGTTGGGGGCGGGAGAAGAGGGATGGGCACAGAGCGACGCCTTCAACGAACATAGAGAAGCAGCGGGCCAGAAGGGCTGTCTTGATTTCTTCCGGAAATGCTTTTGAGGAGTCACTCGGGGGGGAAACCGGTCGGAAGGGAAGCTAAAAAGTGTAACACAAGGCGGAAGAACCGCTCTCAGCTGAGCCCAGTCTGTCATCTGCGGGCGCCCCGGAGGGGGAAGAGCTCCTCGCGGGCCCAGGAAGGGCAGTGGGCAAAATAAAGTAAAATAAAAATATGAACTGAGATGAATACAATGAAATAAAAAATAAAATGAAATGCAGGAGGAATGCTGGAAGATGCTGAGCGGTGGCACCCCTGGGATGGGAGACCACGAGGAGATCCCAGGGCAATCCTCTATATTACACCTAAAAGCCTTTCCTAGTTTTTCCTCCCCACAGCGATAGTGGAGCCTGGCCGTTGCATGGAGAGTCGTCCCCCAGTTTCTCTTCCTCAGCATCGCTGGTCCTTTGCTGCTCTTTCCAAGAGGCCGAAACGCCACACATCTTCCCAGGAGGGAAACTGAGTCCGGCTGAACATCCGGTGGCCGGACTGCTCTGCCATATGGGGGATACAGGGCGCCCCTCAGTGGTTCTCCAATGGCCTCTACCCACCCACCCACACACAAAGCAGCAGCATATCCTGGGATTGTGGTGTGGGGGGGGGGCCTTAAAACAATCACAATGGACCGAGAGCTGCTGCTCCTGAAAATCCATTTCATCCTGTTCCCTGCCTGCGTTTCTCTTTGCTTTGCCCCACCCTTCCAAATGGCCTGCAATAAGCTGTATTATTATATGTTTATTCTGCCCTCCCCCCCTTTTAAAAATGGTCATGACAATAAACATACCCGGCACTCCTGTTTATTACTGTTTCCTCCTGAGCATCCGGGCCTAAAGACCTTAAAGATTTGCCATCACAACCTTAAATGACTCTGACCAGATTCCTTGTTAAGCTGGGGGATTTCTGAAAACATGTGACTCCTTTTTTCCCTCTCCATTCCCATTTGGGTCCTCAGCTTTGCTCTTAAGGGCACATTTAAAGCTCTTTTGTTACTTGGCGGGAAGAAAAAGCTCTGCTTTCTCACACACACCCTCCGAAATAATACTTAAAAACTGCTTTAGGCAGGACTGGACCGTAGAGGCCTTTGTAAGTTAGTGCAATAAGCTTATTACCGTTATTACCATCATTGATGGGACTCATTGAATGCTACCGGATGTTTGTCTTCAAAGGAAGAGCCAAAGTAGAAATGGCACAAGTGTGTGTTATAAATACATTGACAAAAGGCACAAGAGTTCCAGTAGGAACGGAAACACAGCAAGAGAATCACCGCTTCATTTAACAGCAGTGAAATTAAAAGCGTGTTGTTCTGCACGAACACCCAGGGTGCTTTTCTTAGTAGCTGGACAACTCAAATCAGGCCTGTTTTTTTTTTTTCCTTATGGGGACTCGGTCCCTTTGCTAAACTCCTGGAGAGGGGCCCCTTGGCCAAAATATTATTTGTCCAACAGCCACAACAATGGAGCGTGTGGCATGTACAGCAAGAACATTCGCGGGAGGAGAAAAATAAGCTTCAAGGAGGAAACGGTGTCCAGAATCCCATCTGGACAAGCTTATCGTGTAATTTTAGTCCTGACGCAAGCATGAATGAGAGTGACCAGCAAAGTTGGAGGGGGAGGAGGAAAGAGAGGAAAGGTTACACCAACAGATTGCGGGGGTCACTTCAGTTCACCCTCTTAATGACCGCTTAGCTATGCAAGCAAAGCAACGAAGCAGACGACGGCTACAGGCTGCCCTGCAGAACCCCGGCGCAGGCTTGGGAGTTAATTTTGGAAGCCGGTGACCGAATGCGGATGTGTTAGGGGGTCATGCATTGTTTGTCTCCAACCTCCGCCCCACTGTTGGACTGAAAACAACCAGGCATTTTTTTTTTTAACTTTGGGGCACCGCTGTGGAAACACACGCACACACACACACACCCCTCCTCCCTTTGCAAACTCATCCATCAGCTTGTCCAAAGAGAATGGCTGGCTGGCAGAGAGTCACAGGGCGTGGACGAGTCCATTTTTAGCAGGGAGCGGCTGGCATTACTCAGAGCAGTGTCACCCGCTCAGCTCACAGGCAGAGGAGCTTCTCTGCTGAGGGAAGAGAACGGTTTTCTGCAAGAGGCTTTTCTACTGGGCAGGATGAAGCAGCCAAGACTAAAGCAAATTTGGTTTAGAATGCAGTTTAAATTGAATTTGACCGCTATTTGACGTGAGTCCTAATCCCAGCGGCCAAAATGGGCTGATTTCTAGATTGAATTACGTTCAAATTTCAGGCGACTTGCTCTTCATTAGGGGCGCTCAAGAGCTGGGTTCCCACAATTCCATCTAACCACGTAGTTATGGTATCGATCGGATGTATTTCCTACTACATTATCTTCATCCCAGGGAATCCTAAGCTAAGCAGGTTGGGTTTGCAGATCACCGAAAGCAGAAAAGCCACAGAACAGGCGGAACAAGTTTACGAGAGACGCAGCAGCAAAATCCTTCGTACCTGAATAATGCTAAACCAGCTGTTTCTTGGCTTTGCTTAGCAAAAGAATTGCTCTCAGTGTTTTTAATAGGACTAATAATTGACTGAGAAACAGTTTCTTTTCCAAGGCAATAATTGTCTTGAATCAAACAATGCAGATGTGATTTAGCCCTATGTAAAAATGCCCTATGCATTTTTAAATTATCTAACTTACTATATGTTTTAGATAGTTTTAGACCAGGTTTTTAATTATTATTTTAATTTTTAAATACTCTGTAGTGTGATTGTGATGTGGTGTTTGGGACATTGTGCTGCAGTAGCTTTCAAATTTCATTGTATTTGTAGAATGCAATGACAATAAAGGTATTCTATTCTATTCTATTCTAATTTTATTTTCTATTCTAATCATTTCCCTCTTCCGTCCTGCAAAAAGAAGAAATTCACTCCAGGGGCCTCTCTGGCTGAGGGCATTGCACACAAGGGCTTCTCTCCTGCAGACCCCACTCTGGGAGCCTAAAAGGGAGGCTCAGAAAGGACCCCTCCCTGGAGAATGACATGGGGAGGTTTCCAGACCCTGCTAATTTTGCAAGACTTCTCAAACCCTTTCGAGTATGGCCGAGGCCTTGTGGTTTTATTAGACTGGCCAGTTTTCTTCCCTGGCAGCTGCTGTCCAGTTCCCTGCCTTGGAGGCCACCTTAATCGAAAATGACACCTTCTATGTTGTGACCTGCCAAATCCTGACACAGTGGAGAGTTTAAATAACACGCAAATGCAGGAAGCTTATAGGATTTCTTGTAACTGAGCCCTGCTGGCAGAGAAGGGACGGTCCGTGGCCAGCCCCCAAACAGAAACAGATAAACGCCAATTGACCTCATTTCCATGGGTCAATCCTCACAGGTGTGCCGTGGCAGAGACTCCGGCCTTGGTTCAGACATGGTTTGATTCAGCCACCGGTTGGCCCAAATCCGATCAACCAACGACTGTCTCTGAAAGGAGAGATATTGACGTGGATGTGAAATCAAGCAACAATTCCACCCCACTGCAACCCAAGAATTAGGATTTTGTTTGGCATGAACAATGGCAGCACTTCTCCCACCTTCGGGACAAGTCTGGGTCCAAAATCTCTTGACAACTCCAAGCAGCTGCACCAAGGGGCATCCTGTTTGCAACCCTTGCAGGCAGGCTGGGCCATGCAAGATTTCGAGAGGTTCAAAAATAAGTTGCAATTGGTGACTCTGGGACAGACCGTCCCACCAACCCTGAGACACTCCCCTGCAAGGCAAATTAGTCACCCTGGAAAAGTTGGCTTGGTCTGTTGTTTCTCCTATACTCTCTTCCATTTCCCAGTCATGGTCCAATGCCAGAAAGGAGACAAGCAATCCTTCCCTACAGCCTTATGGTGGGATAACTTCTGCAGAACTTTGGAACTGGCCATCAAAGATGAAGATAAGAAGGGCAGCCAGTGTAAATCCTCCCTTTGCAGGTGTGAAACTCTCAAAAATCCCAATTAGCATAAGGGAGGGAGGCACTGCATTATTTTCTGATACTGTCAAGCAATTAGAAGTTTAAATCTCCTTCCCATCTCCAGCAACCGCCTCTTAAGATACAATAATCCTGTTTTCTCTGGCACCTCTCCCTCTGTTCGACTGTGGCCATATAAGACCAAGAGCCAGGAGAGTTACCAGGTACGAATAAAGGAGCGCAGTGATGCACTTCGGCATTTTAATTCAATCTTGGGGTTATGATTTTAGCCTGCATTTGCCAGATTCAACTCCAAGAAGAGTTGTGTGGAACAGGATCAATTAATGGGAAGCTTTTCTCCCACCCCAAAGAGGAAACGACACGAGGGTGCATTTTGTCTGCTGCTCTTTTCAGATTGTTAGGAGGAAAATGCTAGCAGTGGAAGTATTTTTTCCTGGAACCATTGGTGCAGTAAATTTCTGGTCGCACAATTCAGAAATTGGAGCCAGACACCATTATGCTGCAGGAGCTGATCCTGCACTATTTGCAAAGTCCTGCAGATGCTTCGGTTGAAAAAATTGAAACAAAATCAGAACTCCCTATT